GTAATGTTTAACCGACAGAATACTAACAGATGGACACAAGTGTCTATTTCTAAGAATTCAAAGTATTCAAGTGTTAGAATTGAAAGTTCAGGATATCTATCTATCATTACCCTCAAAGCACAGGATACCTACCTATCTGTAATTTACTCTTAATATTATAATTAAATATAATGATATTTTTTCTTTATTTTCTATATTTTCATTTTAATTTTCTAGTTGATATGGAATACAAAATGAGTAACGGTTCTATCCACCAATATTCATTGATATTATCAACCTCATATGGATCAATGGGATTTTTTTTGGTAGAACATTATTATGAACTGATACAAGATGATATGGAGTTATGGACCAGCATGGGTGGAATGAAATTACACAGATACTCTAGTTATGGACTGGTATCATAGGAATTGCCTAAAAATAATTCAGTGTCGATGTGTTACACCCAAAGATTATTTGAAAGTGTTTTTGTTCCTTTTTTTTCTTTTTTTAAGTGGGATTCAATCCCGATGAATTCATCTAAAGACCTTATTAGCAGGTCTAGAATTTTTTTTTCTTTTTTCTTATGAGCTGGTCCAGCTAGTGATTTGATAAACATTGGCTCAGTTTGGAAAAGAGTACAAATATAAATATGTACAGTGCAAATATATACAAAATAATACAAGATGCAAAGTTTTGCACTTTACATATTTGTGTTTGTACTCCTTCCAAACTGAGCCATTTTGTAAAATGGATAACAACATTTTTTGTTGTGCATGAACCAAGGCCATGGTGTTTTGATATCCACTATAACAACAAAATAAATGAAAGAAATCTCATATATAATGTTATTTTTACCCGGCCCTAATAAAAAGCCTCAAGAGTTCATAATCATCTAAGCCTTTATCTATATCACTATACGGGTCAGCTATATGAATCCTGTTTTGTCATTCTATTCTGTTTAGTGCCATCTCCATTGTTAAACTATGGATATTTAAATAATTTCTTATTCCATTCACCTGAATTTTATTAGTTTACCTCAGATTCTTCTAGCCCCTTGAACTTGTAATAGATTCTTTCATCTAATAGCTGTTGTAAATGATTTTCTATGCACATGATCAAATCATTTTCAATTTGTTAACCAAAAAAAAGGGACCAAATCATCTCAATCTATTTTCTCTCATTTTACCACCTATTAAAATTACGGGTGGCAATTTATCAACCCAGCCCACTAACCCACCCAACCCAACTATTAATTGATGGGTTAGGTTGTATCCATTTAATTTGGGTCATTAGCAGAACCCAGGAAAGAAAAATTTAATGGTTTGGGTGGATTGAGTTATGGGTGCCCAATGGATAACCATTAACTCGAAACGATAAATTGTTTATAATAAAATTTAATGCTTGAAAACTAAAAATGAATGGAATTTTTTTATTTGTATTCTCACTTTCTAGCCCAAAAGAATTAAAATAAATAGCTCAATGCCACCCCTTTTTCTTTCTCGCCCTCTATGTTCTCTTATTTTCATTTCTCTTCCCTTCTCTCTTACATGTAAGGGTGATCATTCTTGGCTAGACCCAACCCACAAATTTCTGGGTCTGGGCCCAGAATTTTGTGTGTAGGCCCAGGCGCATATCAAGCTTGAAAAATTCAATGCCGAGCTTGGGCGTAATACTTCAAGCTTGGCCCAACTCGCAATATACTTATTTTTATATATAATTAAAAAATAAGTATATATGTTATAATATATTTTATATATTATATATACAAGAATATTTTATTTTATATTAAATGTTTGTTATTTTATATAAAATATAAAAGTTTTAAAGTTTTATTTTAACAAATAAATAAATATTTATGAATTGAAATGTGTCAATACATGTGTTAACAAATGAATCAATTCAAGTATGAGAATTGTCCTCCTAAATAAGCCTTTATATAGATGAAGGAAAAGCCTTCATTCTCATTCCCTAAGCAATGGTTGCACTAATTATTTAGTGTTGTTTGAAGGAAGGTTAAATCCATCATATGGATGGTCTAACAGAAATATACTTGATATGATTCCCAATTTTAGCAAGTTGATTTGCACTCCCTATGTATCTACAAAATGACAACTGGCCGATATACTTACTAAAGGGCTCAATAGTACAGACTTTCGTAGAATTGTAGCCAAGCTGAGAATGGAGGATCTCTATTCACCARCTTGAGGGGGAGTGTTGGAAAACATGGGATTACTGGTGCAGATGTATATTTGGTAGTTAGCATCTATATTTGGTAGTTGTGTAAAAATGAATATGTATTCCTAGGATTGTGGAAGAGTATAATCCCTTAAATATGGGGATTAAAATAGTTAGTCTCTTAATTATAGGGATTGATTTAGGAAGATGTTTTCTATTTATTGCAGCAACTTACTGTATAAATATGTCGGTTGGCAATAGAATGATAAAATCAGTTTTTTACCATTTCAAAACACAATCCATTCAATCAGAAGACATTTTAAAGACTAGCTGAAGGGCACATATGCAAGTATAAATAAAAGGGTAAAAAGATGAAAACACATAAATTGTAATTTTTTTTTATATTGTACTTCTTTAAATGCCATAACAATGACTGGATTTAAGGATTGAAATATTTAAGCATCTACTTTTTGCAAGCATTTACATTATATGATGATTCTAAATATTCTGATTTAACTTTTATGGTGTGGACGTGAAGCCAAGGCAAGTATCGGCATTACGTAGTAAAGACAAATATTTTCTTGAAAACCACCTATCAAAATTAACCCCTATCCTTTAATATTTAAGAAGGTAATAATCTATAACGTTGAATAATTTATTTTAAAAACTAGGATATATCTATTTGGGTAAATTATAGACACCCACCTGTATTTAGGGAGTCGTGACACTTGGCCCCCCAAACTTTGTTTTGTAACAAAGAACACACCCCCCTGGTACTTCTGGATTTCAGCACTTTTCCCCCCACCATTAGCATTCCGTCAATTAACAACACAGAACCCATTGACTATCATGTGAAGTTTATACATTTTTAAAACCCCAAACTACCATTATGTTATTTTTCAAGACTATTTTGTCCTTATAAAACACAAACTCATGCCCTCTGTGGAAGTTCTATTGAATGAGCAGTTCTTCTTCAATGCCTTGAATGAGAAGTGTATTTTCAAATACTGTGCTTTACCATGGGTGTTTTAATAATATTCATCATTGTTGCTATTAGCCCATAGACTCTAAAAGGGGTAGTTTGGTAACTTCGCTTTCACTATTAACCCCGTTAACTGATCAGGGGAAAAATGATGGAAACTAAAAGCACAGGGGGGGTCTTTGTTGCAAAACAAAGTTTGGAGAACTAGGTCTTACAACCTCCTAAGAACAAAGTGGGTGTATGTAATTTACACTATCTATTTAACCCTCTATTATGGAATATTTATTTATAATAAAAAAGTAATAGTAATAATTATAGCACCATGGTAAGGATTGATCTAAAATATTTAGGAGAAAAGGCCCAATCTGCAAGTTGGATTTGGAAAAGGCCTGTAACTTTCTAGATTGGAAAATATCTTATTTTGTTCATGGAAGGATGGCTCCAAAAAAATGGAGGAAAAAGTTTTAAGTGTGTTTGTACAATTTAGTCTTGATAAATGGCACATTAAGTATTTCTTTAAGGAAAAAAGAGACTTTAGACAAGAAAACCTACTACCATTATTCCATTTCATTATGAGAACCAATGTCCTTAGTATGTTAATAAGTCAAACGAACATAACAAATTTGATCAAAGGTTTCGGGGTAGAAAGAATTAGGTGGTTGTGTCTTATCTTCACTTTACAAATGAAATCAACATATTTTTGTGAGAATCTGGATGAGAATGAGGACCAAAGCCTGAAAAGCATAATCAATTGTTTTGACTTTTGAATGGATCACAGGGTTAAAAATCACCTATGAAAAAAGTTGCTTTGATGGAACTATTTTTGCCTCATAGGCTAGAGCATCGTGCCTTCATATACAAACAAGAGAAAGGATGCATATAGTTTGGTTATGTAAAAAGGAGTTGGAATAGGGTTTGTTGACTGTGATCACCCTTTAGGGCTATCTGGAAATTCTAAACATTTACACATGTTTATTGACATAAAATTTAAGTTACCAGTCAAAAATAAAAATAAAAATAGAGCAATGTGCCTTCAGGGAATGGTTATTGAGAAATTCTTCAAAAGGTTGCCAACATGGAAGAAAAACTAAATAACCCTTAGAGAAAGAACCACCTTAATCAAAATGTTTTTTACAAACATAGGGGAAACTGATCAAGCGAAAGAAAGACAACAATGAAAATGAATGAAATCTAAGCTAGCCAACAATGTCACTTTAACTTGCTTGTGTAGAGCTATTGGCTAAGAAGGGTTTAGGGGTGACTTTAAGACTAGATATAAGGAAAGGTTCCAAAATAAATTGCTGAGAATTACAAATTCTTAACAAAATGGTAAAAAATATACAAAATTCAAAAACTAAGTTTGTGAAAGGAATATTTTAATGAAACTTTGTAGAGATATTTACAATAAAAGATTCTATTGACTAATTTAATTTCAAGGCACTCTGAGCATGTTTTAAATAGAACAAAAGGATGAAAAATTTCTTTGTTAGAGAAACAACTAAGTTCCAAAAACTAGGTCCCTTCATTTAGTTTTGGGATGAAATTAGGTAGAATGAATGGTGATAAAAGTCTATAGGGGCATCTGAGAAAATCTAGAGATGGTTTGGAACAAAAAGATAACCAATTGAAACAAGAAATTGGATTTTGACGTAAAGTAAAGAAAAACACTCATGAACCAGTTTCAATCCTTTAGGATGTTGAATTGACTCCTTCAGTGAAGAATTTGTAGGCTGTTTATGGATGTAATGGATGCTTTGCAAAATCAAAAATAAGTTAAAAAGAAAGAAGAAACAGAAACCCCAAAATCACTAAACAAGGCATAGTCATTCTAGGGCTTATGGGAATCATTTACCATAGCAAAAAATAACAAAATTCTTACTCAAAGTATCATTCACAACGTTTTTGAAGCAAGCAAGATAATGTTATCTAAATAGACACTAGGGTCAGCCAAACTCCTTCCTTAACTAAGAAAACCCAAAGTTATGATTCTGCACTCATACTTAACACAGAAAACTAAATAACTAGTAAACTACTTAAACAATGGCTATGGAATTTTTATCTCGACTATGACTAGAAAGGACAAACAACTAGGCCAGGTCCCACAAATAAGTTAATAGCCTATAAAATGACCAAAATACTTCTACCATCTATAAAACAAAAATACATAAACTTTTAGAAAATTTCATATTTGACCAATTGTATACTCCATAACACTTGGAGTGATGAAACTCAAATTTGATGGTTACTCCATTGATAATTTTTGTCCTTCTGGAGTGGAAGCAGCTTCTGAAGATCACAATTGTCTATTTGGGGTTGATTGGTACAAGGAATGCAACCAGAGCAAAGATCCTCTCCCTTAATCCATGGACTTTAGTTGACATAGGTAACCACAAATAATCTAACCCTAAAATTTCTGCACACAAGCCTATCATTTTCCTTATTTTGTTGAGGGGGAAGTGGATTATGGGGAAATAGGAAATACATTTAGCAAATATTATATGGATTTCAAAAAGAAAGTAATTAGAAAATGAATCAAAGTTTGGCACATGCCTTCTCAAAGGTCTCACATAATACTAATCGTTCATAAGGAATCATCGGTATGCACCCTGAGTACCATGGTGGGTTGTACCACCTTCTAAAGTCACCTACATAAGATTAAAACAAACAAGAAGCCTATCATTTAGCAACAAGAAAAAATAAAAGGAAAATAATTTTCTACTGTAGAACAGGTTCTTGAACTTTTCTTACAATATTGCTATGAACTAGGGAATTAAAATATAGAGCCTTCTCTGAAATAACTCCACTATCTTAAAAAACGATAAAACAAAATTATCAACACTCTGAAGTTAGATAATAATTTGATGTCTCAATAAGGAAGGTGCTAGCTAGGCAATCCCTGCATCTTTTCAAGTTGGAGGAATCTTTCAAATCATGAAGGAAACATCTTATTTTGCAAGGACCTATTGTAAAGGGAAACTCCCTTATATGGTAACTTCCATATGGTTATTGATTGGATGAAGGATGTAGAAGATCCTTGGGTCTTCATATTTACCAGAGGAAGGCAAACATCTCATTATGATGGATACCTCAGTCCAGTAATATATGGATGTGCTGGAGTCTGACACTCCATGGATTATTAGGACACTTTTACATAACATTTCCTTTTTATCTCATAATTTATTTAATTAACAGAACGGTTAGAATATATATATATATACATATGAACTATTTTAAAAATATATACTTTCAGTTTCCCATATAGTCCACGGTTTTCCACCTTGCCAGGCCAGACTCTTGGACACACATTGAATTCCAACTTCAATGTTTGTGTCCATGCAATACTGACTTGGTCGTTTAACTCCTTAATTGATTCTCATGTGAGAAATAGAGAGACAGGACTTGTGGATGGCTCAAGGACCAGGGTTTCAACAAAAATGCCTAATTAGTAGGGGTGAAACTTGGATTGGGTCGAGCATTTGTTAAATTCTGAATGGGCCCAAACCCTAACCTGAGCACAATGTAGTTGAAGTTCCTCAATTTGGCAATCCGACTTGCACCCCTACTAATTTTTGTGTGTAATCAAGGGCTTAGTCAACTTTTCTGTAGTTTTTTTTTTCTTTTCCTTGCTTGCAGTGCTACCCCCAGCTATTGTTTTTTTCTTTTTTTTGTTCATACTGAATCGACAAAGTCTCTTTGGTCATGGTTAATAATAAAAAAATCCATCTAATAAGAACTTCTAAATATATCTTTTTTTCAAAAGCATTACATCTTGTAGGATCCAATTTTTAAGAAGAATTAAAGTCTCCAATTTAAGCCAAACTAGTCAATCTCTTCGGGAGAGATTTCATGGCTACTTTTAACTCAAATAGAAGCTTTTCAGTTTAACACGATTGGAAACAATTTTCACGTATTACCTAATTGAGCAAAATAAATTAATATATCCGGTACTGGCTCTACAAAATTGATCAAGTACCATGTTTGCTAGAATAAATATGTCCAGGAAGGAAGGAGATGAAACGTTCACAATCATCGCTCAAAGCTTTCATTTCCGATGCAAACCAAATTGATCCTGGTGAAGAAGCAGCATCAATTAAGCACAAATGTCAAAATCTTTTAAATATATAGATTTCTAAATGAAAATAACTAGTATGTTGAACAAGACACCAAATCTGAGTAGCATGAAATAGATAGAAAGGGGAACTTCATTTAAAATTGTGGATGATGAGAACTACCATTAAGAGAAAAACTAATATGCTGAGGTGGTGTTTGGAATGTTTCAAAAAGAATAAGTTCCCATGAATTTTATGCTTATAAGAATCACCTTTAAGTTCTGATATGTGAAAAAAAAAAAGAAAAAAAAAACTCCATAGCTAATCCTTCAGTATTCCCACAAACATTGTTCCTAGAAGTGATCCTATATGGAGCTCAAAACTTCAGCATCACAAAAGAACCATTTCTTGGTTCAAACTTCAACCTTCAAATAGTGGTTCTCCATTGCAAATTTTCAATGAAATGCATCACTGCATCCCAAATTACATATCAATACTACTCTATTTCCTCGTTGATCCTCAAGTTCCATAATCTACAGAACCTATTATACCTCTTTTACCTCAGCTCATTGCTACATTTTATACTACAACCCAATCAAATCCTCTAAGACACCTATTTCTACTCTAAGACCAGGAACTATCAAAGCTTAATTCCTTGAAATTTGCAACTCTTAAACTTGACATTCTAACAAGTAATCATTGAGTGTAACAAGTGCCTATTGCAGATGCATAAAAAGAAAGTCACTCATTGACTTCATTGAAGAAATATATAGTAATAGCTTGTAATAGTGACTTTAGCTCAAAGAGAACCAGAACCACCTAAAATGTAGTTTGCATACCTAAAAATCCACTTTATAACATTCTCCAGAAAGTAAGGATCAAAAGAAAAATAACTGAAAAAAAAAGAGATGCAGCAAGGATTAAGTTACATGGCATACCATCAAGACCCCAGCCCATGTATAGAGGGGTAATACCAATAGGATCTCAAGCAGCAATGAAACTTTTGTCACGGGTATCAAGCAGGACAAAGGAGAACATGACATCCAACATGTCCACAAAGTCCTCTCCATATTCCTCATACTGTTACAGAAAAGAAAAAAATAATAAAAAGGACAGACTGCTATAAAGAAAACATGGCTATCATTTCTATTTTGTCCAAACTTTGTAGACAATAGTGCAGAAAGTTTTAGCATCCAACCAAACCCAGGGAGAATAAATACTACAATGTACAAAATCCTAACACCAAAAAGAATCTTCATCACTTACAAGGTGAGTAATCACTTCACAGTCACTTCCTGTTCGGAATTTATGAGACTTTAGCTTTCCTCTCAATTCTTCATGGTTATAGATTTCGCCGTTAACCTACAAGAAATGAGTTGGTAAAAAACCAATAAGCTAAATGCAATGACATGCAATGAAATTTTGCAAAGATAAACAATGAGAACTTTATGTTGATAAATTTTAACAAACAATACTCATACTGGATAATCATTGATGAACTCTGAACTGACATGAAAGGGAGGGGAAGGAAAACCGAAAAGTCATATGATAACATGAAGACTAACAATGAAATTCCATATACCGGATCCCAATGCAAACTGTCCTGTCTGTATTCTTGTACAAATTCAGTAAACTCAGGTTAAAAAGCCAGAAGTTAGGTCTGTCACTCTGTCTCCAGTCCACACCTCCTAAGACCCCAAATATCAGATCAATATCAAGTGAAGCCATTTTTGTTCTATTGGACCTTGGTTTCACACACGACTCTCAGGGGGCTAAATACATTGATTTCTTTAACACTGATACATGTGTATATGTTTGTGTTTGTGATTGCAAAATCATTGTTTTTCCCTTATCTACTATGGTATTAAAGCTACACTTTACCAAAAAGTTCACAAAATGTACACATTACTTCTTTTTACATATACACATTGATCTTGAGTCCACAACCTACAAAAAGGGCTTCAATGTTAAACACTTAAGTGAGGCAGTCACTTTTTCCCAAATCACCTTTCTTTATATAAAATACAAGAGCAGAAAGATAAGGTGTCAATCCTCAATTGACATATCACTCAATACCAACATTTACCAACTGGCATGTTTCAATGCATGCCACCTTTATAAATAAAAGCCTAGATAAGACTATGAAACAACAAGAGGGCTTCATTGACATAAATAGTTCTCATAAGTAAGTATTAAAATATTGATACGATATGCCTATATATGCTTCGATACACTGATACAAAAGCCTTCTATAATGTTTAAAACTTTAGAGATGTGGGGTCCAACCCTCTAATGATTGTATGGTAAAAATAAAATAAAAAATAAAAACATGAGAGTATCGGTGATATCAATATGCACCTCTAAGTAATGATTATGGAACCTAGATGTTTGCCTCCCTCTGGTAACTATGAAGACCCAAGGACCTACTTGGGTCTTCATTAAGGAAAAATGATTATGGAACCTAGCGAACTACCCTAGGATACATGTTTTTACTTGAAAAAAGTCCATCGCCCAGGTGACTAGGCAACTAGGCACCGCCCTGTCGCCTAGCCTCGCCTTGGCGCCTTGAAAACTATGCCCAGGTTTGCATGCACTAAATAAAGAACAAAATGATACCGTAACAACAATTGTCTTGTCTTCGTTATAAAGTGGTTGATCTCCAGAAGTAGGGTCTACAATAGCCAACCGTTGGTGAAGAAGATAACAATCTTCATGACAATATATTCCACTCCAATCAGGACCTCTGTGGTGCAGCCTATATAATCAATATATCAAGAAACCAAAATAAAAGGATCAGGTGTTCTATTCTCTTCACATGTCAAGTTAATAAGACTATGAATTGTCAAAGTAGTCCGGATCCATAAAGAAAACTAACAAGTAATCATATAGAAGATATCAAGTAGTTTAGATCCAGAAAAAAGCTTTTCCTCCTTGATCTCGCCCACAGACACTCCATACACAGAACAAAGTGTGTGACTCTGTCAAAGCTGAAACTAAGAACATGCAAAAATCTGTACAGTTTGGATCCTGAAATTCACAAGAGTGTTACTCTAAAGCATGTGAACTGATTAGGCTAGAGAAAAGGGACGTGCAACAAGACCATAATAAGTTTTCTTGTTTCCTTCTCAATGCAGATTTCCACTGAATAGAAAATACTAAAAGTATACATATTGAGTCCAATCCACCAAAAGCAAGCCATGCCGAGTGTTCTTGAGAATAGATATTGGAGAGGTTTCCATCAAACAAATCACCAGCATCAAATTTGCCACTCCAGTCCAGCTAGCAAAAATGATGTGTTTTATGTAATAACTACTACTAAAGTACCAATCCATAACAAAAACTCCGACACAAGTTTGCAGGGAGACAAACTAAAACTTGTGTAATGAAAACTACAGAAACAGAGCATAGAGAAATTCGAGAGGCAAAAATCCTTACAAAGAAATGAAAACATGTAATGACAAAAAAAAAATATATGAAGAGAAATTGCATGAATGACCTAAAATCTCAAACTTTTGTTACAAAAATGAAAAAACAAAACGATCCGAACCGATGAACTTCAATATCATACGTAGATGATTTCTAGTACCCTAAAAGAAGATGTCCAAAATGCAGACTAAATTTGACAAATGCTTACCTCCGAGATAGCTCGATGATTCGGGAACGTTTGGCCTGAGAGTTGTCGACACAACCGAGGACGACGAGGATTCCACACATGGCGGCTGTTCGATCTCTCTCTCTCACTCGGAGGAGCGCGAGAGTCTATGAGCTAAAAGAGCAAGGAGTCAGAGTCTAGTGGCGGGGTTTCCGCCTTTTATGACGGCAAGAGATACTACAAAGCACGATTTTCAAATATTCCACTTTTAGAGTGTTGCGTGGCGTCGTAGATTCGTTGCTGGTGCAGTTGTAACAGTTGTACTCAGATTTATTTTTGTTTTTCTAGTCATTGCTTTTGAGTTTTCAAATGCTTTCTTTTTTTTGCTTCATGGGGCTACACAACAGGGGGTAGCCCATCCCCTTGCCGGTTCCCAACGACTCCGGATCTTCGTCTGCTGCCCACACTACTACAGCCACTACCAACAACGTACCACAAGCCGTACATATCATATGGAACATTTCCTTCTCCTTATGAATGACAGAATACAGATACGGGAGATATTCTCTGTACGATGGTTAATGTGCGTACCAACATACGGACCATGATTACGTATCTCATTCTGGCTCACTTGGTAGGTTCTCTGACTCGTCGGAGTAGAGGCCGGAGATCACGATGCCACCAGGGGTTGGGGCATTGGGGGGTTAAGGGAAAGGACAAGCCCATTGCATATTTCTGATTTTCAGTGCAGATTTATAAACATTCAAAATGTCAAATGTCCCTACTCTATATATCAGTTTTTTAATTTTTCCAAATCGAAACCGAATGATACCATCGGTTAGCCGTTCCGTTAGTTTCGGTTTTTGACTATTTCGATTCTTCAGTTTTTCGGTTTTTTATATTTATAATATATATTATATAAATATATGTGTAATATTATATTATAAATAATAAATGATATGTAATATATTATAAATATTTTAAAAATATATAACATATATAATATATTTATAAATAGATTATTATAAATATAATATAAGTATATATTTATATATAATATATAGAAAATATGTGACATATATTAAAAATATATATAAAATATACATATAAATATATATATATATCGATCAGTTCGGTTAACAACCGATTTTTTTGTAGGTAAACCGAAAACCAAACCGGTTCTTCGGTTTTTCAAAAAATCCAAACCGAAATCGAACCAATCGGTTCGATTAACCGCATTTTGCGGTTCGGTTTTCTCAGTTCAATTCAGTTTTTCATGGACACCCCTACTAGCACCTACCCCAAATGTACTTTGGGCCTAAAAGTTTTGACCCTGGGCTGAACCGTCACTCTCCCTTGATTATATCCTTTTACTACTTCATTTGGTGTTCAGATCTCCTACCCACAATAACCCTGATCACACCTACACACAAGAAGACACCACAGCCTTGAGTTCAAATCTGTGCCCCACGTAATGGAAGCCCACCACCTGTCTTCCCGCACGAATTTCCCCTTCAACATGTGCCAAGTTAATGGGACTGTTGTTAGCTCCAAAAGCGTCCAAAACCCCAATCTCCATGTTCCCACCGAGTTCGGCTTCAGTCAAGGCAAAGCCCATTCGAGTAGTCTTTAATGCCATGCATTGAGAATATCTCCTTACTTGTATGCTTTATAATGCAAGGTTGCAAAAGGATGTTAGAACGGTGTGGGCACAGGTTTGCCCTGATAGAAGTAGGGGTATAAACGGATTGAATTCGAACCGGATCAGGCAATATCCGAATTTGAATTCGATTAAAAAATGTAATATCCGAATTCGATTCGACATCCAACGAATATCAAAAATTAATATTCGAATTTGAATCCAATTAAATATTCGAATATTCGATTCAATTTGAATTCGACTAATAAATATATAAAATAAGTATTTTATTTATATAAATCATATAAATATATAAATTATTTAAATTATTTAATTATTATATATATAAATTATATAAAACATTTAAAAATTTTATATATTACATGTAAAAATTAAATAACCGGTCGAATTCGAATATTTATCGAATTGAATCAAGTCATATCCGAATTCGAATCTGATTAACTATTCGGTATGAATAGGATATCTGAATTCGACCGATTAGATATTCAAATTATCCGAATTCGATTTGATTATGTCGAATCTCGAATTCGAAATCGGATTTTTGAATACCATTAACCCCCCTAGATAGAAGCCGACCTCGTTTTCGTCCTCACACACCACCGTCAACAATGATAGGCGTTGGCATCATGTCGAACCCAACAGAATCCGTGAAGTGGATGAGAGGGAAGCCCGCACGGTAGGAGAAACTTTGCCACTGTAAATCTAGCAATACCCAAAAGTGGTAACAGTCTGCTGGTTCAGGTTACTTAATTGATGGTAATGAAATGCTTGTGCTTTCTGAGTCTTCCTCGCTACAAGTGGAGAAAGAGATCATGACCAATCTCACCGTTGAGAATGGGAAACAAATTTACAATATCTTCCTCAAGTACGCTTTGGAGATACTTTAGCTGACCTGCTCAAAAAATTTGGTGGTTCGTTATTGGAATTTAACGTTCGACGTTACACGAGATCAATTCTTCGAGGTCTTCATTTCCTCATATATTCTATTCTTCTCTAGATGGAAACAACGAGATTAAGGTTGCCGATATTGGGCTGGCAAAGAAGGCAGATCAGGACAAGAGAGCAAGAGAACGGAAGGTGGGGCGTTTGGATTAAGAGATACTCCGCTTTACATGTTGCATGAGGCGCCGGCTGACATATAGGCTCTTAGTTAAGACCACATCAGCCCCCTACAAGATTGCCCCTCACAATGTCCCATAGCACATTCCCGTCGTGTATTGGGAACATCTCTCGATCATAATCCCAAAAATGATGATGTCATCATCAAGAGATGTTCTCAATACACGGCGGGGATGTGTTGTGAGACGTTGTGGGGGGAAATCTTGTGGGGGAATGATTTGAACTCCTCTTAGTTATGTTGTGTCGGAGATTGTAATGGACAAGCCAGCAGGGAAGTGTGGGGCTAACACCGACGTTAGCGCCCTACTGTTTTTGGATTGGTTTTGGCAAAGAACTGCAGGTGATTCTAGGGGGTTCTCACACAGGCTCCGAACTGAGGGCGGAAATATGGAGATTGGGGTTTTGGGCAAGTTTTGGAGCTAATGCTATGCAACGTGAGGGGGAATTCGTGCAGAACGACAGGTGGCGGACTTCCATTGTGTGGGGCATTTGTAGGGCACTTACCATGGTGCACAGATTTGAACCTACAGCCTCACATTGAAAATGTTTCCTTATTTTCATGTACAAGATTAGATTTAGTAATTACACTTTTTTCATAGCCTTTTACAGTCGTAAATTGAGGATATCTACTTACTTGTATTTTTTTTTTCATGAAAAGATATTCTCAATAAAAGACTGCAAGGGATTCTAGAGGTGTGAGTACGTTCATGAGGATCAAATCCAATTTCACATATTGCTATTTATGGGAGATGTTCCTAATACACAATTGTAGTGTTATGTGAGTAGGAGATCCAGATTGCTACATATATTTCCCCTCTATCATCTTTTACTATAACTATGATGTATTCACAAGTCACAACAAAAACTACCCCAACATGCTACGAATACGTGATCAGTGATGGTGTGACCGCACTTCTCACTGTGAGACTAAGATCTATCATATATGGAACATGTTAAAAACAATTTTTTGCTATGAACATAGGGATTGTTTGATGGTATCCACCCCATCCAACCCAAGGTTTAAAGTACCGATACATCCCAAGATGTATCCATACTTCCAACCATACTCCTTTTAATCTCCCTCTCTCTATATATATTATTTAAAAAGATAGATTCCCAAAAATACGGAGTATATCATAACGATACTTTGGATCTTGTATTCCAGCCCTAACAAGATTTTCCTATAAAAAGTCAAAATCAAAACGGGTTTGGGACATGTTTAGGATTTTAGATAAGGTTTTGATAAAAAAGTTTGACGGTTTGGATACCCAAAATTCTCGCAAAATTGCCATAACTATAGTTTCATACTTAACTTGAATTGGTGGAAGTATTAGGCAACCCATTCATCTGGTCTTTCTGATTTATTAAAAATTTTAAGATTCAACTGCCAACACCTGGCCCTTCTCAGATATTTATAGCAAATGACACTGGTAATCCTATTTTTCCAGCATGATAGGTTGAAAGTGTGGGTTCTGAAACTCACATTTTGTAGCATACTGCGTTGTGCTTAGGGGTGTCAACGGTGTTCAAAAATCCAATTTTGAATTAGAGATATGACATAATTGAATCGAATTCGGATAATTCAAATATTTAATCAATCGAATTCGGATATCCTATTTATACCGAATAGTTATTCGAATTCGAATATGATCTAATTCGATTTGATAAATATTTGAGTTCGACCGATTATTTAATTCTTATATAATATATAAATTTTTTAAATATAATTTATATATATTATATAATAATTAAATTATATAAATAATTTATATATTTATATACTTTATATAAATAATTTTTTTTATATATTTATTAATTACCTAAATTAATTAATTAGTCGAATTCAAATCGAATTGAATATTCGAATATTTAATCGGATTTGAATTCCAATATTGATTTTCGATAATCGAATTCGGATATCGAATGTTTTAATCGGATTCGAATTCGAATATTGCCTGATCCGATTTAAATTCGATCTGTTTACACCTATAGCTGTGGTTTTTTCCAAAACAATGGAATTTGAAATGTGCTAATAATAAGGTAAAAATATATTTGATGTTGCTCAATCCAAGGTGGTGCACGAACTGAGGAGAGCAACCGGATAGTCCTTGCCAACAGGGCGGTGCGGAGCTACAAGGACGAGGCCACGCTCCAAGACCTGTGATCAAGAAAGATGTCAAAGGCCCGAGGTGTTATCCCCGGGTAGGTACTCCGACGCTCAAGTCAGTAGGAGGTGATGGATGGTCGAACCGAGCAATAAAGGTGTTGGTCTGAACAGAGTAACAGTATGGGTGTCCAAAGTTGGAATCCCTTACCTTGAGCAGGGAGTGCCTCTTTTTAGCCAAAGATCCATGTCCTGGTCGGATTGGGATTCCGGGGTTGTCGGGATGAGGTTTACTGCTGAGGTCCTCGGGCTAGAGTCCTATTCCCTGGCGGAGTTGTCTTCCTTTCTCCTCTTATCTGTAGTTGTGTCTATCCGCACGACGTGTAGCTAAAGTGACTGAGGGGATAAGATGGG